AATCCTACCTCTTCAATTGCTTCGAATGTTGTAGCGTTTGGATTTTGCTGAAGAGTTGCAGTCCGACAGAATTTTAGACACTGCCAAAAATATAAAAGAACAGATTAAACAAATGAAACGCAAGGAAAATGTTAAAAATTATCATTATACTAACCCGCAAACGACGCAAAGGGCGTTGGGTCGTTTGGTTACGACGCTTTTCTTCCCAATTACCTATTTTGATAACGATTACATCTTCACAACGATCTTGTACTAGCCAATAGTTATTGATCTTATCCTTTACATGTTGGAGAGTTTCTGAGGAAGCAACCTCAAGGATGATTGTTGGCCATGGGCTTCCCTAAAAATTACAAATTCACAATGAAAACCCCATATTTTTCATTTCTAAACAAATTGATAATACGGACATCTCGATCACAAGGATTTAGTACTGGGTTCAATGCATCCAACAGACGTATAGGTATAAAACATGCGTCTGGCTCTTGATATTCGTCTGTTGGGAGATTAGTAAATAAACCTAGATGAAATTGAATTAGTTATAACATAAATTTGAATGTGTCAACTAAATACTTGAAATACTTACTTTTCGATCCCCAATCATAAACACTTCTTTGATTTGTTGCATTACAGATTGCAGTCATAAATTTAAAGCTAAATTCACGGGCTGTAACTTCGTGTCCTCCAGTTGGTAATTCAATAATGGCTATAGTACCATTACGATAGTCCAAGAACCTTCTGGCCTTAATCTTCTCAGCTCTTTTTGCAAACTGATTAAATTTTACTCCTCTCGCCAATACTAGAGGTAATCTAATGAGATAAATAATTTTTTAGTCAATAAATAAATAAAATATGTGACTACTAATATGTTTACCTTTTCTCATCAATACCCAGAGAACCTAGAGAACCTTTTCCTAACCACCATTTCTTTTCCTTTTCGTCGGCTTCAATGAAAATGTCCATATTTGGTTCTGTGTTCATATTTGTGTTTGTGCAATACTTGAATCAGTATCCATTCCTGTACTGCGTTTTCCTGCGGTCAATTTAATGATATATGGTAACGAAGAGTCGGCATTAAACATGACAGACATTTTGGTGAGAAAAGTAGTTTTATTCAGATGGCTTCAAAAGTAACTCGCTTTTAAACTTTTATGACATATAATATCAGATTGTATTCTTATTGGTCCTTGCAATGTATAACGAAAAAAAATCAGAATCTGATTCTTACATGACTCATTATTTTATAATAACAAATGACGTCAACGTTAAAAGCAAATGAAATTCAGAGTTTTAATAAATTTAACTATTTTTATATTTTATTTTTTTTTTTTTTTTTTTTTTTTACAAATTCATTTTTTTGCAACGTAGGTTAAAAGGTATTCTTTGGTAAATTCATTTAATAAATTTAATTTTTTAAATAAATTTTTTTTAATACATTTGCTAAAAAAGTCATGTTTAAAATTTTAAAGATGTCTACTGGATTCAAAAAAAAACAAATAGTGGTCTAGCTAAATTTTATACTTTTTGTGACGAAGTATTTTTTTTTTCGTTTGTTTATTGTCCGAGATACACAACTACGGCGATTGTCATCAAAATTATATTTTATCAATTTTTCATTATTTATATAGTATGTTATTTGTTATTTTTCATTACTTGTATTATTTATTAATAAGAAGGTGTAGTTTAGTATTTTATATAAAACCTGTAAGTTAACCTTGAATCGACAGAGTTCTTCCAAAGAAGTTTTTAGATATAAGTCTAGATTTATAACTCTACAATTAATAAATATATTGTTCACACTTTCAACCTTCTTCTGTTTTGATCGTGATAACTAACTATAAAATCGGTTTATTTGTCAATTTTTATTTCTCTTAGGGAAAATCTTTGAGATATTTGAGATATTAAGTTATTTGGTTTGTTAGCTTGATTTCGGTATAATTCCAGGTCTAACAACGGCAAATGTTGATTTAAATGGAATTGATCTTAATTTTGGAATGTTCATTGACATTCTCGTCGTGGAGCCTTGGTTCTAGTATTACAAAAAAAGTATCAAATCACTTTTGACAATATTTAGATTTGGACAGTATGATACGGATGTCTTAAATTCAAAAAGAAAGATTCCTGATTCGTGCATAAGGTGTCAAAATTGTAGGTTACGTGAATGAAGTATGATGATCACGTTACGACTTGAAATTTATATTTATTTCCAAGTTCTCGGCGATAGTTTTCTCGATGTACTGTACAAGAACTGGGATTGGAACTTTCTAAAATGACGCATGGTGCCATATAATACTCGGTATTCAAGGAGCTGGATATAAGCACTTTAGAAATCATTGTAGTTTTGATGTTACAAGAAAACCTGTTTAATCATTTTACTTTTTATACGTGTAATGGCAAAAAAAAATAAAATATGGCATGCATCTGCATATTTTCAATTCTGCTCTTTAAACAATGGAAACTGCACCTTAATTTAATTGACTGCAATTGATTGCTTTATATAAAAAAATTCTCATCAATATATATTCAACATTTAAATCCAAATATAAGGTTATCCTTTTTTAATACAATTAATAAGCTAATTAGTGCGGAGCGAAGCGAAGGACTTTTTTATACTAGCCACATGTTAAACGAGGAGTCCCGTTCAAAATTTTTGTCGATACGTGGTTGGTCCTTTTCGTTAAACTTGTGCTCCGGACTTAATAATGGTTTCCGAAACCTAGTTTTGTTATTTTCAAGAGAAAAGATAAATTAAGAACTAGAGATCCGAATCGTTCAATCCGTAGTCAAATTATCCGGATATGACCAACTGATTACGATGATCGATTAGACGAAAATATTGACCGATTATTTGGTCATTTAATCGATTATCACCAACTACGAATGGATAACCGGATAATCGGATATTCAAATATTTGGATCCATTTTTTAATAGGCATGTATCACCATGCATGCGCATATGC